CAAATGCCTGCTCATCACATTTCTTCTCCCTTTACACCGCGGCCCTTTTAATATTCTTTCCTACCAATAATTAGATTTTCTGAGGCGTTCTGGACCATTCATCTGAGTCAGCTACTCAATTACGACGAGTAATACCGGTTACATAACGAGACTTTCACATGTGTCGGCAAGCGAGCAAGCTGTTGTATCGACAATGTAAACTTGAGTTGCGTACGTACTCATTTTGAATCTCGATCGGGTTGCCAACTTTCATGGCTGATATTTCCGTGGTTTTCCTCATCCGTCACTGGCAAATAACCGGAAAGCGCATTAAAAAAAAAAGAACACTGTCACCTTCCAAATTTTTACCTAATCATTGTTCGTAATCCTTTTCAGTTTGGCTCTATATAACATCTAACTGCATGTAACAGTCCTTCTTGAAAAACTGGTAGTCGCTCAGCTGGTCGTGAAATTCTTTATGATTCACAAGAGAAATAAATTCCCAGGTCCTTTGTAACATTTCGTGAGATGCTAGTCTGTTACGGTAGAGAGTTCTTAGACCCTTCCGACGTAACGCCCCACCCTATGACCTACGACCTACATTCGTCGGCTAACCGCGACTTTTAGTTTAATCGCATCTACCGCCCAGATTTGGAAACCATCTCATTCATCCCCAACAGGAGCAGACGCCATGCCGTTGGGACAAATGGCTCACTTACCATTGGGTTGTATAATATCTTAAAAAGAGCATGAGTTCGAATAAAGTAAAGTTTGTCCCACTATACGCCATGTAGGCGTTTGGGGGGAGTGGAGGTATAGCTCCTCTCTTCCTTGACCTCGGCACTAGATGGGGGGTGAGTGGTCAGCATCACGCCCCGGCCGGCTTTACCCCCGGGAAAGGACCCCGGTACCCATTTTAAAGGAGGCTGTGTGGGCCCCAGAGCCGGTCTGGACGCAGAGGCTATCCTTCCATCCTTTTCTCGGACTGGGACCTGTTCATATACGTTCTTGGCAGATGATCCAGAAGTGGTTTGCCATTGCCTTCTTCTGTGTGTGAATGCCACGGAGAAACCGGGGAAGCCCCCGGAGGAAAACTCCGTGTTGCCTAGACCACGGCTTTGCCCAACACAAGTTATAAATTCGGGCACCGCCGGGAATCTAACCCGAGACCCCCAGGATTACAAGGCCAGCGTTCTAACCGCTAGACCACCGTGGCTTCACTATACGAATACAACTTAATAATAAACAATACATTTATGATATATAAAAAAGCAAGTTGGTGCAGAGGTAACGTTTTTAAACTTGTGTTCGGAATGCCTCCATTTCGAATTACTTTCGGTTTACTCCCTGTCTTGGCTGTGGCGTGGTTTTCTTCAGTATATCCAAGCGAATATTGGAATCTACCGCTCACACACAGATACAAGATCTCGTTCCTACTGCCACGATCTAAGAACATCGGCGCGGTGTTTATCTTGAGCAGCGCTAGTGGGCAGAACTGCAATTGCAGCAATGGAATCCCGGAAATGTTCTGAGCCAGTTCAATATGCACTGTCTCACGGGCCTTCCGTATTTGAGGTTCGTGGATCAAATTCCGATGTATTCCCTTTGTGGAATTTGTGTGCTCCCAGCGTTATAGGACCAATACTCACTCCACAGCCTTCTCTCTCCTCTCTCCTTCAGCTTTACCTGTACCGGACAGTGCATAGTAATTGGCGGTTAACCATTTAAAGCACAGTAGTAATTTACATGTAGCACCTCACTTTTAACATTCAATGACCGTATTTTACCCACGGAATGCATCTATAATTTTCGTATGACCTATCATTTGCTCAAACAGCATTGACCAATTGGTCTTTGTAATTTAGACACGCTGTGTTATCTTTGAGGTAGGAAGTAAATTTGTAAATATTATCGACAAAGTTTCTGCTTCATATTTTTATTTAAACAAATTTCTTCTCTTATTTTTCGTTGCTGTAACATACGACCTATAGTTTCTTGTTCAATAGCCAAAGACAGCCTATAAAGAGGCTTTAGGGCAACCGAGACCATAATATATCTTTTACATGTTATTATTCATATTAGACATTAGATCTTGCCCAATTACGGGAGGGGTTAAAGATTTGGTTTCCGTTAAATACACTTTACATTACCCTACGCTGGCCTTGTAATCCTGGGGTCTCGGGTTCGATTCCCGGCGGTACCCGAATTTATAACTTGTGTTGGGCAAGGCCGTGGTCTAGGCAACACGGAGTTTTCCTCCGTGGCATCCCAACAATTACTCCATTCACACACAGAAGAAGGCAATGGCAAACCACTTCTGGATCATCTGCCAAGAACGTATATGAACAGGTCCCAGTCCGAGAAGAGAAAAGGATGGAAGGATCCTGTTCATATGGACCTGTCGTCAGACAGAACACTAAATAAATAAAACGTAGCCCTAAGCCTATATATCGCCTTCTTTTCTTCACATTCTGGGACGTAAGAGACGTGTATGGCCAATGGTTGAAAGCAACTCGGTCCCTCATAACTTAAAAGAACTGAGTGTCTATCCTGTTATTTAAATATTAGTATCGATATTTCGATTTTTGTAAAAGTTGGTATAGCGAATATGCCATTATAAAACTAGATTATAACTCTCTGTTGTCAATATTGCCAAAATTGTGGTCCTATTAATTTATGAAAACGGGATTAACGAAATTACTGTACTGTATGATGATAAAGGCTGTATTCGAAAAGTGCGCAACTTTAAGGCAGTTCGAACAAAAGTCGAATGTGCGGAATATCGAGAAATGCTGTTGATAAATGTTTGACAAGTGATATATGAAATTTGTATGGTCAGATGTTATAAACACATTTACAACAAGTAAAACTTTGTTTAATATTATTTTAATTCGTTTTTGAGACTGGTTTATTAGTGATTTTAACGCATGTGATAATTACTCCTTCTGAACCCCGAACTGCATCATGTCAACAGCTAGTGCTTTTGGTACTTTTTTAAATTTCATATTAAAATTTATTTCGTAACCTGTAACCAAGAAAGTGGAATCGGATACTGAGCAAATGTTTTGAATGCAGAACACAAGCTGTCGGACAGTAACTGCTCCTGCAGTGGTTACATTTACCCATAAGAAGGGGAAAGCATATGCATAACTTTAAAAGGGAGTTATATAAACAAACAATGTAGCGTTTTTTCCCGTCTCTATGGAAACATTCCATCGCTGACTATGCGCAAATGGGTTGGCATAGAAACGGCTTGTTCAAGGCATCCAAATGCGATATAGAACGAAATATTTTCCAGGAAAATGAACTGTTTTGAGGAATACGTAACTGAGTTTTGAGAAGGTATTTCAAACGCGCGGAATTAAAGAAAAGACGTTCTGTACAAAGGAAAGAGTACGCTGAGGAATAGCCCGTTTTTAAAATCCACGGTTCTTCTAAACACTATACGAGGTTCCGAAAGCTTTTGCTCATAATTTATTTACGTGTTCTTCAGTCACAGTTGAATTTTCTCGCTTGCATTCTTTCAGACAGTTTATATTCATCACCCTCCTCAAATATATCAATACATATTGCAATAATCATGTCACCTGGTTAAATAATGAATTGTTTGAATGTTTACTTACTATGTTATTTCAACACTACAAAATGTCCATTAACTGCAGTTTGTCTCTTCATGGAAAACATTTATTGAAAACAGTAACTTATAATTTTATTCAAATTTTTAACGTCCATGAATTTAACGAAAAGCCACGCATATGCTCCTATTTTCACTCTTGCTTGATATAATGTTTTTTCATGCACCTTTATTTTAAATTTTCTCGATAAATCTAAATAATTTTGCTTAATTTACGTTCTTTTTTTACTGCGAGATATAAAATCACATTTTTTAAATCCTGGATAGTGAATGAATGAGGATGTGTACAAACAATTACTTGTACCTGTGATTCCCATATTTAGCGAACACTGAATAGCGTTACCCACACTCTTACGTTTCTAACATTTTCGGGCGTTGTGCTCGAAGATGGTCGTCCAGAACGCTCGTCATCATCGACAGAGGTTCGGCCATTTTTAAAACGTGAATGCCACACAAAAGTTTGTGCACGACCCATTGCGGACTCCCCAAATGCTTGCTTTAGCATTTCATAGGTTTCCGTAGCCGTTTTGGCGAGTCTTTGGCAAGAGATTCAGGCAGAATCGCAGATGGTGCTTGACAGGCTGACAAAGAAAGATTTCCAGGGATGCTTCCAGGCTTGGCAGCGGCGCTGGGATCGTTGTGTTCACTCCCAGGGAAACTACTTCGAGGGTGATGGATGAATTTAATACCTGAGATAAGTGTACGGGTTTTTATACGCGCAGTCTGGAAACTTTCCGATCGCACCTCGTATGTCTTGGCATACTTACCTTGGCTCCCATGGTTGTCTTTGTTACCGTGGTAAAATACTTTATATAACTTGTTTGACATGGCTACCTTGGTTTCTGTGGTTATATTTTTTATCTTGGCTCGTATGGTTACCTTTGTTACAGTGGTTCGTATGTATATTTATGGCTGCCATATTTTCAAGTGAACGTTATACACTCGGTTATAGGCCTATGCCTTTACGTTACATAATAACATAATAATGTCGTCTATGCGAGTGTCCCAGCTTCGATTCTAGAGTTTTTGATAGGAGAAACAGTAATCAGTAGCTCATGTTTTGCACTGTAACATCTGGTGATGGTCGCCTAGCAACATGACCAGTGACACAGATAATTATTGGGACGAAAGAACTTTATACTTCAGATTGTATATCATCTAGAACCAACTATAAGCTATAAATAATTGTTTTGCTGTCCGATTTCTCAGGAAGAAGTAAACAAAATACACTGTGTTCACAGTAACAAGAATATTAATAGTCGTGAGACGGAAATTCTGATGTAGCGGCGAACAGCCTTAGAAAATCTGGTGCTATGTTTAATCTAAGCTTTGAGCTGTTATAGTAAATATTGGTAGTATGGAACCAATTACTGTAGTGCAAACATACCTTGAGACAACGCTAGTAAATTCTAAATCTCCTCAGCGAGGCAAGCTGCAACCCGCGCAGCCTGTGGAGAGACAAACAAGTGTTAGGAAGGCAGACAGTAACTTGTGATAAAGTTTCGTATTTAAAGAGAGTAGTGATAAAAGTGAAATGGGTAATTTAGTGTGGAACTTTGCGGTTCACAAAAATTATTCTTAGGAGGGCAAAGTCCACGGGTTACTGTGGGCTGGCTGTGTCATCAGGTTAGGGGATACGAGAAATGCGTGTAGAATTATGAAGAGAATCCTCTTTAAAAAAATACATGAGGAAGAGCGAGAAGAGAAGAGGGAAACATTACGATAAAAGTTAATGGAAAAGATTGTGTGGGTGGAAATGACTCAGTGTTGCGCAAAATGGCGCACTTCGATGTTTGCGACTTTGAACCCTCGGATTCTATGTCTAGGTGCGAAACTGCTAAGAATACGATTAGCTACAGTCAGTTTTATTGCATATGTAAGTCATTCGATTAACTTAATATCTAAATAACAAACCAATAAATATTAAAACAGTTGTCAAGTACTAGGTGCAAGGTTCTTCTTGAAAAGCTTACTGTCGCTCAGCTCGTCAAGAGACTTGTTGAATTGAATTTCTTACATTTAATACACACGTTTACACCGTATTTCTCTATGATCCACTTTAACATTATCCTTCCATATTGGCCTACGTCTACCAAGTAGCTTCTTTGCTACGGTATTTACAACAGAATTTATGCGTGAATATCTTACGGTAAAATGCCAGATGGTATTTGGTTCACACACAGTTGGACTTAGGAGATTTAAGTGTTGAGAAGCCTGGTGCACAATAACATAAATGCTTCATACAACATCATGTTACACAAAAATTTTGCGTTATTTAACGGCGACTTATAATTTCCATGCGATGTATTATGTGAGTAAGAGGACGATTTTAATTTGTGAATAAGAAAAGAACTGGAGGATTTTCATGGCGAAAAAAGCGACTAATGACAACATGGCAATATAAAATGGCGTAGTAGGTAAATTAATCGCCTAATTAGTAAAGTGGCTTGCTTGTAAGTTTGATGTGCGGCAGTCGAAGTTTCCATGGCTTTGAAAATCCGTCTCCAGGGCTCAAGAAGGAGAGGATATGTTTCCCCGAAACGTCGGTATTCTCCGGCGACTCTATACGGCACCAAAACCCAGAACAACGTCAGATTGGTTAGATATTAAACTCGTTAGTAAGTTAATAATTTGGTCAGTACGTTTTGTAAGTTATCATTTGGTGGGCAATGTTCTGTGTTCCGTCTCTCTCTCTCTTTCTCTCTCCCCCAGCTGTTCTTAACGATGAGGTGCCAGCCACAGTAATTGACAGCTCCCACATTATTATTTGCGGTGTAGTCATGCGTGCCGCATTCAGTGTCATTCTTGTTTATTCTTGGAAGAAGCAAGATGGCTATTGGCGCATCATCAGCTAGGTGACGGGGCGGAATGGCAGCAATGGGAGATATTACGCGAATGGCACCATTTAGAGACATAAACGTCTTGCGGAACAGTCCCTGTAAAGCGATGTGCAAGGCCTCTGTTTGTTGATTGTGGGCAGAAGGAAGGTGTGAAAGGAAGAGAGAAAGGAGGAGACCACGAAGAAGACCGAGAATGTCTACTATGCAGTATGATTTTCTGACTTGTGATCTGGATAATAACAACGTAATACTTTAAATGGGCAACAAATATTTTAAACGGGGAAAAAGATTATGAACGTAACAATATTCAGGCCCCGTAAGGGTCCCTTTAGAAGTGGAGTTTGCTGTATATTCATTGAGGTGTGTTGTACCACTGGATCAGCTTTTTCTTTCTACTTCTACTGAATTAATATTTACATTTCAAAATATCTGAATATGGCTGAAAGGGCAATTATGTTGTATTATTGCTGTCTGGGGGGGAAGCTTATTGTTCTTTATTTATCATGAAATTTGGTCTCCTCTGCCAGTTGTTATTGCTTCTTTTTATTGTAAACTAAATTGGATGTCGACGGATTGACGCCTCTGCAGTACACTGGAAATTATTTGAAGCCTTTCTTTCTTTATTTCTTTATT